ATTATTCAACGAATCTCAGGAAAACAAGAAGATAAAAATCAGTTAAGGAAAAATTTAAGTAGAGATCTTCAAAAATATAAAGGAAAAGGTGCGTACAGAGATTATATGTTAGATAAAAAGGCAATTAAAATAACTAGAAAAACAAATAGATTAATTAAGTTTTTTAAAAATAAACAAATTTCTATTATTAAAGCAGATAAATCTCATGCGCTTATAATTATTAAAAATTCAGACTTACAGCAAAAGAAAAAACAAATAGTAGCTACAAATGAATACGAAATTTTACCCAGTGATCCAACGGAAGATATTAAAAAGAAACTAATTAAATTAATCAAAACATACAGAAAAGAGTTTACAAGTCAAGATTTTAAGAAGATAGTAAATTTTAATAATGTACGTATCCCACAACTTAATATTAGACTTAAAACCCATAAGGTGAGACAGATTTTTAGACTATTAGTGGATTTTAAATACTCAGTACTATATAATTTGGAACATTATATAAAAAAATTATTTGCAGTGTATACCTGACTCTAAATATACCATAAAAAATGCAGATCAATTGATCTCAAGATTAATGCATGGTCAAAGTAAGAAATCATATAGATTACTAAGTTTGGATGTAAAATCTATGTATCCTTCAATAAACTGGAAATTTATCATAAAAAGTTTAAGCAAATATAATTTACCTTGTCACATTTTAAAATTTATACAGTTTACTTTTAAAAATAATTATTTTAAAATCTCTAACAATGGGATCAATGGTCGGCCCAAAACTTGCAGACATTTGTATGGCATCACTAGATGAAAAAATCTTTGTTTTTTATACTAGATATGTGGGTGACATATTCATTTTGTACGACTCAAAAGACACCACAGCCGAAAATATCAAGATTTATGCAAATAGTTTAAATAATAACATCAAATTTACCTATGAAGAAGAAAGAAATTATGAAATTAATTACTTTGATGTCACAATTACAAGACAAAATGAAACATTACCGTTTCGTAAGTACGAAAAAATATGTAATAATAGTAATGTGATTAACCATAAATCATATTGTCCTATGGGAATAAAACGAAATGTATTTTTGATGGAATTAAGGAAAATATTTAATAAAACAACATTAAAAAAATATATTGAAATAGAGACTAAGAACCTTTCTTGAAAAAATATTTATTAAATGATTATCCACAACAGCTTGTAAATAAGTGGTATTAATAATAGATATAATGTCAAAAAATAAAATAATAGAAAATTTATATATTAAAATTCCGTATATTTCAAAATTTTATGAAAAATATAAAAATTATATTAAAGAATTATTTTTTGTCAACTTAGTAGGTGAACAAAGAAATAGGTTAAACAAGAGTACCAGTAGACCCCCCTATAACACTGCAGATAATTCCGTGTTATATGAATTCCATGTTGTACGAATCACTAAATTTTACAAATACGTGTGTCGGGCTGTGAACGGCTCACGTATTTGTAAAATCTAAGTGACTCGTACAAAATGGAATTCATATAACATGGAATTATCTACAGTGTTATAGGGGGGTCTACTGGTATCTGTTTAATTAACAAAGCAAATGAGAAACAATCGAAGAATCCTTTAGAAGTAGCGGGAGTCGTATATAGGCTGATGGGTACATGTACAGAACAGAAATATTATATTGGAGAAACAGGAAGAAAACTTGAAGTGTGACCGAAAGAGCATGAGGCATCAATCCGACTAAACAGAACCGAATCCCCGTAGCAACAACAACACTGCAGTATAACAAACTGTATTATTGACCGAAATAATATTAAAATATTGTACAAAGTAAAAAATCTTGTAAAAAGACGTGTTATAGAACATTACCGTATCAAAGAATATGTAAATTGTATTAATACCGGCGCGTGTGTTGATGCGTGCTGAGATAGCTTGATAGAGTATAAAAGAAAAATTTTTAAGAATTTATTATTTTAATAGTTATTATTAAAATAAAATCTTATAAAAACAGGAAAAGTTACGGAACTTATTATTTTTTCTTTTCCTAATGATTTCTAAACGACGTTCTTATATTTTTATAGAATATAATGAAATGCAACTTTTATGTCTTTAAAATTAGCAATTGAATCTTACGAGTTAGAAGAAAAACAATTAATAAGCAAAAAATAAAATAAACAATGAAAATGATATAAATAATGTTTATTTTTACTAAGTGTTATAATAATTTTTTAAATAATATTTTAAACCTGTTAACGTTTCGCAGATTTATTAGTCAATCTTAACATAGTGTAGCCATGCAGTATATAGGTAACCCCCGTATAACACGGGAGTTACGTTCCAAAAAAATTGCCGTGTTATGCAAATCCGTGTTATATACGAAACAAAGAACTAGTGCGAAAAGGGGGTAAGGTTCCAAAAATTAAAAAAAAAACATGCTTTAAAAATCCTTGTTTAAATCAGATTTATTATTAATTTTTTTCATAGGTAAAATACTTATTTATTATTTAATTAATTAAATAATAATTTTACCAGAGGATTATTCATCCTATATGATGATCTCAGCATGAGCATCATCAACTAGTAACAGTTTTTGGGTGCGTTCGTTAATAGCGGTCACTCTGCAACGGGGAGTGCGCTGCTGTTTGTAGGCATTTAGGAACAGCGGTAAATGAAAAATGGCGGCGCCCGCACTATCGATAGTATCGTGATGGAGGAATCTATAATTCTAAAATGAACAAAATAAGAATAAAATAAGAAGAGATAAAAAGAAGAGGCAAAATAAGAGGCAAAATTTTACAAGAATTGTAAAATTTAACCATTAAATGGATTATTTGTTGAAAGAGCATTTAAAGTAGCCACGAAAACAATTAGAATGCTCGCGCGGAGTTACGCAGTGGTATAAAAGAACGCACCCTTTGTTACATTTCATGTTTTACCCAATTCCCGAACCGTGCTATAAAAGCACCGTGTTATACGGGAATGTTTCCAATTCTCGAACCGTGTTAGAGGGAATCCGTGCTATAGAAGTGCCGTGTTATACGGAGGTTACCTGTATCTTCTTCAGAGATTGAAGAGCGTGCATACCGGAAGCATACAGAAACTCGCGTGGTATAAAATGTACAGAAATTTATGAGAAAATACGAGAAAAACTGAATACATAACCTGTAAATAGGTATTGCTAGATATTGTTGCAACCGCTACAGTTTCCATTTGTAGTAAATGATATGCCACATACCAGTCTGTTTGACAGTCAATACGTTTGTCGCCAGATAACATATTTTTTTGTTATGTTGGTAACTGTTCAAGATGGCAATGTTGCTGTTGAGCAAAGAGCTGTTCACTTTCTGTGGGAAAATATCATTATGGCATCTTATTGCGAAGTACTGTAGAAGCTGAAAATCAAGATTTGTCAGAATCGTCCTTCTTGGATGCGGAGTTCTTCCACGTGGCAACACGCGTGTAGACATTGCACTACAACTGAGCAAATCCACAAACTCATAAGCTCAACCTCGAACTGCTGGGTCACTATACAACCCGAACATAACCCCAAATAACTTTCCTCTTGTTTAGTTAACTGAAAAGTAGAAAACGTGTGGGAATCCATTTCACATAATGAGAAAGTCGATCGATCATCTTTTCCATTTGATACAAATCAACTTACAGAAATTGTTATAGTACATTCTCACTACTAGTATTATATACTACTATGTATTATAATTGTTATAATATATTCTACACTACTTTTCTGAACTGTTCTTTCCCATTTCTGGAAAAGAACAGTTCAGAAAAGGAAGGTAAAATACTAATACAAACATAATATATACACAAAAATATACGCTCTCCACCTCAAATTAATAGTATCTTGCTCCCATGTCATACTTTACCTTTAACAATAGAGTCGTGCAGATCATCTATTAACTGCTTTCAGAGGAGAACATTTCAATTTAAATAATATGATTTCCGGTGCAAACCTGAAGTTCAGTACAATCAATCGGGGAATCCTTCAATAAAGTATCCATATCTGATCTCTTTCTTCACGTATATAATTCCGTTTTCGAGATTAAGGATAGACAGACAGAAGAACGAAAGTAGGAATTTATAGGTCTACAGTTTTTTTTTCAAATTGCAGCCCAATAAGCTTAATATGGAAATACTAGCTGATGTTGATGAATAAACATTTCAGTCATAATGAAATCAATGCCCAAACTTTATGCTGCCTGCAAGGATTCGATAATGTCATTTGTATAATAACGTATAAATAAGACCTGGTGAAATTATAAGCGAAAGAATGGCGTTGCATTGAGTAGCCAATTTATGAGCTTTTTCATTGCCCTCTGTAATAATGTGAGCCTCTAGTTCAGTTTCTTGGGTCATATTCTTGATATTCGACAGATAGACGGGCTGCTTTATCATTGCCATTTTGTTGTCGTTGAGAAGTGAGACTGCCGAACTACTGAGCCAACTCAGAAGAGAAAAGAGGAAAATACGAGATAAAATTTAACGGATTGAACTTTCGAAAATGAAGGAAACTTCTGCATTTCTCGCGAATCCTCCGTATCGCTGTTCTGCATAAGCTGCATGTAGAGTGCGAGTTCTTATCCGGAAAGTTTTCTTTCGTCTGTTTCTTCCTCTTTTCGCGTCTTCATAAAGCATCCTAAGACGGTTACAATACAGTTAAATGCATAAAACAATGTACGCGTTATCTAGTAAAGCAGCTCAAATACAGTTGAATAACAAAGGCTATATCAGGAAAAGCAATAGCATAGTCTATTTGAAATGAAACAGGGTATGCAATTAGTTTGCTTATTAAGCTTATTATTTACTCATTTTTTTGCTTATGCAATGGAATTGACATAATGCAATTCAAACAAAATGAACTTTCTTATTGGTTTGCTTATTTCGCTGCATGCCACTTAGAAGATCCAACATACTCTCCTTATTACTCTTTTACCAACAGTAAATATTACTTTGTATTAATTTCATATAAGAAAAATATTATTGTTCTATTAATAGAGCAAAGTCTTTAAAAATAATAATTATAAAGAACTCTTAAAATTATGCAAATGAGGAATGGCAATGGTGGTTTTGACAACAATACTGTGTCAGTTGGATTAAAAATTAATAAAAATGACTAGTATACAGCAAATTATCGAGTTTAGATCAAACAGAGGTAATTTCTTTAAATATTTAATACAATAATAAACGATTTATGTTAATATGAGAATACGAGGGATATTTTACATACAATTATTATTTAATTTAAAGGTGGGGTAATAATATCCTGCTGTATAGACTGTGGTCGTGAGGCCTGGACAGATTATTATGGGAATTATACTTGCAGACCTTGTACCCGGTTCTTCATAGAATCAATTATAAAAAGAAGTTGCTATGCCTGTATTAATGCTATTGGAATATGCACTTTTAGAAGAGATTTAGTGAGGAGATGTAAATTTTGTCAGTTACAACGATTGTATGAGGCAGGAATGATGCCCATCAAATTTGGAAGACATGAAAATGGATATTACATGCGAGATATGTATCGTACATTGAATTTTGATATAGATTCATATAGACACAATACCAGTGTAAATAACATTTTTCAAGATATATATTTAAAAAAACGAAGATTTATATATAATTTCTTTTATCTAATTAGGTGTTATCTACCGAAAGACAAATGATTCGACAATTTGTCTCCAATTATGAAAGCATCTTTTATGAATGGTTGCAGGTATTTGAGAGAGAAGTTATGTTGTTTAATCAAGGTCTTCAGGTAAATTTATTTTACAAAACAGTTTTGACCATTTATAATTAATAAAGATTATTACCAATATGTATATTTACATATTGTAAATAACAGTAACCGTCATAACTACGATAACTTTAAATTGTAACCACCTGTCTACGGTTTTTACCATAATAAGCGCCGGTTATTACAGTTAAGTCCTATTCATTTAGAACTTTTAATAATATAATAAATTTGAGTTAAATCTTGCAAATAACATTTCTGCAGCTTCTGGATGTCTCTACCATTATGGTGTTTGAAGCAAACATAACTAAAGTTATTTTCTTTAGGAAGCTTACTTCTGTTGATAATAAGGAAAGCGCAATTGACATAAACATTTTATACTAATTAACATTCGGATTTCATCAGCAATTTTACTTTGGATGTAAATTTCTATTTCAAAAGTATGCCATCTCCATTTTCGAATATTATTGTCATTGCAGCTAGCGTAATCAAAGAGTAAGTGGTAACTGTATATAAGAATTCACTTTAGTAAAATAAAGTGATTCATAAACCGTGGAAAACATTGAAAATTTCAGTAGTTTCAACTGAAATTTCCAAATCTAGTAACATGAAAATTGAAAATACTAAGAGATACACGCATTGAACGAAATAAAAGATGCTCTGCCTACAATTATTTAATGTTTTTTTTTTTCCTCAAGAGATATACTTAACAACACATAGACGATTTACAAGTATGTTCCAAAAGTAAAGGTAAAAGTAAAAGTAAATTCTCTGGGCTGACCCATTTTTAACTCAGAAAGTAAGCAATAAAAAGTTACACTGTAGCGATACTGCATAATAGCAGTAACATAAGTAAAAGCATCGATTGAAATCTGATTTTATTTATACTCGTATTCTGATATAATCTGGGCATAAATAAAAATATTATTTTAATATTTTTTATTTATGAACAAATAAGTTTAAATTTTGCATAACATTATAAAACACTAGAATCGGTTTCAATGTTAGTGTTTTATGTACTGTACATGACAGTTTTTATTTGTAAGTCTAACAAGTTGCTTCTTCCTCAGACGAATGAAGATCCTGAACTTCTTCAGAGAGGAATGACGATAGCTGTAATTAACGATTCGATTCATGTTCATGATGTGCTTGTATCCGACTATCGTTATATTGATCCCTACCAATGTAAACTTTACTCCAGCTACTGTACAACAAAACCTATTTTGCATCTGTTACGCATATATCTATCGATTTGTCCACAATGTAAACTCGATTTGAAACAAATGCTTGCTTTCACTTTTAAGGTAAGTACAAAGTGATCATAATTAAAAAGTACGTGTTTAGACTTCTCTCTAGAAAGAAAAAATGAATAGGCAACATTCAAACTGTCCATCAATATGACATAAATTAAATACGAACCCATCAGGCACGAGCACTATGACTGTTAACCGGTATAAGAATTAAACGAACCGTTCGCAAATCTTTTTATACCAGAAATTCGTAAGAAAACATACGAAATATGAAGATTAAGGGAATACAGCCACCAAATTTTTCCTTAGAAACCGAATTAACATTGTTTCTGAAAATTGAAAACGAATATTGAGGACAGTATAACAAATTAAACTGGGATTTCTTCAAGAATTCTTTCTACAGACATCTCTGAACACTTCTTAATTAAAATCATACTATATACTGTATAACCGTTCTTTTAAATAATTAGAAACAGCAAAATCTGTATTAAATACAATTAATGTTTTAGGGTGAGATAATTCTTCCAGAGTAGAAAACAAAAAGATCACCATATCATAGCAATTTATAAAATATTTTGTACTGTCTACAGACGAAAATTTGTGAATTTTATCTCAATTGAATTTAATGTGTAATTCTTTTTATTGAAACTTATAATTATACTTAATTGTTAAATATCTGTTATGTACTATTTTGATGTAGAAAACATTAATAAAATAAAATTTAATTTTATATTTGCGCTGTTTTTCTTTTATAATATTGAGACAAGTTAAGAGAAATTTTCAATTCTAAATAAAATAAAAATGATATATATATGAAAGAAGTAATTACGGGTATCCTTCGTACAACACGGCATTTCTACAATACGGTTTTGCTCTAACACAGTTCGAGAATTTGGTAATTGAAAACTTTTGTCAAAGGAACGGAAATGTGAAGTATACATAGAGCAAATCACTATTCAATAGTGGGCCAATTAGAGATTACGATCATATCAACAAGAAGATAACTTTTAACATTACTTTATTCCATGTATTTAAATTGTAATGTAACACATGATATGATATGGGAACGTTCTTCCGGGGAATTTGAATGGGAAACTGGCTCCTATTAAAGTATTAGAGACGTGAAGAAACCCATAACACTTTATGCTGCCGGCCCGTTTGCGTGGCACGAATCCGCGATCGGTGTACAGTGGTTCACTGGTTTTACAACTAGGCCTCTGATGAATCATTACAACGTATGGCATTGCACTTGCGAAAATGCGTTCTGTTATTTTCTGTATTCTTAATATAGTTGATCATCAAACAAGGCCTTTTAATTTAAAATTAATAAAAACAGTGCCACTCACTAAATTTTATGCAAGTCTTGTTTATATATTTCAGTCCATAAATTCACAAAAGCGCGTAATTAAAGCTTTAGTCATCATGCCAGTAGCGGATCTAGAGGGTGAGCCAAGGGGCTTAGCTCTCCCAAAGTAAAAGGAAAAGAAACACTAGTAGATTTTCCAAAACGATTTTACTAATTAATCATTGTTGGGCCGAGTCCACCAGTATATTACTAAACTTTGGTAATTGGTAACGGATTCGCTTTTCAACGGCTGCAGTTTCCCAGATTTTCTTCATGTGTCTAAAACCTGAATATGGCCATTTTTCCTCCTTGATAGAACTTTCGTGTGTTTCAGTGTCTTATCCAACCAAACCAAATTATTCTAGCGCACTACCGTACTTCATTAAACAACTTTCAATACAATCTAAGCATACTTAAAAAAGAAGAAAAAGCAGGCGTATATAGAATTTCTTTTGAAAATCAACAATTAGGAAGTAAGAAGAACTATATTGGCTTCACAAGAAAGAATTTAAGTACTAAACTTAAGCACAATAAAGGGTACTGCAACACAGTTTTATTCTGTATGGCACAGAGAAGTCTAATAAAATGGAATGAAGTGACCATCCTCGCAGCTTCCCCATCATCTGCAGTTCCCCATCATCTGCAGTCCACGATGAAACCTGAGGTTGAAAACGTTAGTGTTTTGATTAATAAAAACATATCTCAGCAAGAAAAGGCGTATTAACAGTTCTTGGGTCGTAATCAAAACTTTGATTTTCCTTTTAGATTTGCTGACGTTATCGAACACTTTGAGTGGAAATTTTCATAAAGATTCAAGCAGGCAAAGAAACCAGAAAGGTGTTTGCAATAGTCAGATAACGAATGCGAGTTGTTTTTCTGTAAAAACGGCGAAACAACTTAATAACTGAAAATCACGTTACCAGAGGATAAGATTAGAAAACGAATTTGCAAGTTGGATCTGCGCGGAATAGCTACTGACAAAGAGAAAAGAAATGCGTCGGACGTACGTACTCGTGGTCGTGAGGTTAACGTGATTTTATCGTAATGCGAATGACGATAAAAACACGTTAACATTCCAACCACGAGTACTCACGTCCGACTCATTTGTTTTGACGCATTTTGTAAAACTCTTCGCCCGTGGATACTAAGAGGTCATGTTCTATCGTTGTTGTTTGTTAAATTACGCCAACGCAACGTTTGGGCGATCTGCCTAGGGGAAATGCCTTCCGTGAGGTGTTTTAAGGGTAACTGACTTCTACTTAGGCATTACAGACGTGGAGAAAACCCGGAAAACTTTAAATAACCATCCCGTTCCGGCCAGGTGCAAATCTACGACTGAACTCCCAGTATTCTGGGGGAACGGAACCGCACGGACACTGCTGGGCCGGGAATGTTTCAGTAAGCCCATTATGGAAAGACCACAACGGGGCGGAAGAATGGTGAAGCACGGGGCCCGACATATCCGGACTTACCACCACCTGAAAAATTCCTGAGGATTTCTCGACCCATTCGTATCCCAGTTCCTCAGAGCAGCAGGATATATTCAATAAAACCCAAGTCCTTCTGGTTAAGAAAGGAATAATGACATACAAGTTTGGAATGATCAGGACCGCTGTTTTTTTCGTAAACTACATACAGAGATGGCTGGTCGGTAAACCCGATACTAAATTCTTGGAAAAAATTTTTATCAACTCCATACAAAATGATTATAAAATTTTGGAATATCTCCGGAACGGATCATAAGATCCTAACACAAAAGGCTTATTGCACATGTGAAGACCCATCTCTATCTATCAACACTTAATTTGTTCAAACTTGCCAAGAAATCTACGAGGAATTCAGCTAACAAAAATCTCTGTAGCGGAATATATATATAGGAAGGTGGTGCAAGATGGGGTCATGGGGTAAGACGGGGACGTCTGTTTATTTGTGGTTAAATTAATAAGCTTTTATCTAGCTGTTATTTCACGAACTAAATGTCTACTTTGAAATGGATCATGGAGCGAGAGAACGTCCAAATAGCTCTCTTTATTTGGAAGTAAGATACGTTTTTCATGTTTCAGCAATACTTCATCTAATTTTACGCATAAAAGTTCACAATGTTTCTACAAAGTAAGTATCATTGTGAACTTTTACATTACCTTTTAGAAAAAAATACTATGGTATTCAAAGTTACCTTTAAGACTGTAATTGTTTAGTTTTGAAATGAAGTTTACCTGTGTTTGCAGTCAGTATGAAAAGTATACATTGAGAGCAAGATGGGGTACCTGTCTCGCCCCAGGTTGACCATGAATATGGTCGATGAATCCAGAAGTATTTTCGGAGGCAGACTTTATTGCTGCAGAGACGACAAACGGGCCCCTTCAGCAAGGATAGGCCTAACAAGAAACATAAGACAAATGACACAGAATGCCTCTAATGTGGACGGTATACTCTGTATCTACAGACAGTTGGGCTAAATGTAGCCGTTGTGATAAATGGGCACACTGTTCTTGTGCCGATATTAAACAAAACGACAGTTTAACCATTTTAACTTGTGCTTCTTGTATATAAAAATAATGTTTCACCTTATCCCACAAGTGGGGCAAGATGGTGCATTTACATATAATTTTAAAATATTAAATTTTCTTTTTTTTATATACGTTTTTACATTGTACAAGAAAATTTATTGTACAATGTTAAAAATTTAACTGTTACTTCGGTAGCATCATTTACAACTAAATTTAATAAATGAGATGCACAAAGTACAAAAAAGCTCTAGAATTAATTTTCCTTAAATACACGATTGTCTTTCCACTTCTTTGCCAATACTACAAATATTGAAGTACGAAGTAATCAGTTTCAACTTATTTCTACTTAAGAAATTAAACAAAAGCTTAACCGAGTACGGTGGGGACTGATTTCTTCGAAATATTAGATAAGAAAAACAGAAGTTATTTTTCTAGTTCAATGAGAGTCATTTTGGAAATTTCCGTAAACCCTGGTCCTAAAACGAATTAGTTAGAAAACAAACGACGGACAATCTATTAAGTTCAACCTATTTAGATTTCTATAGGTGTGGCGAGAAACCCTGTCGCCTCCTTTCAGGTATACTAGTAATGAGTCAAAAGAAACATTTGACATTGACCGGTATCGGCACCCTGGGGATTTGGCAGCCCGCGTGCATGCACCTACCAGGACCGTCTCTGATTCAATCCATTAGCCACTCGTAGTCACCTATTTGACTAAGATTTAAAAAGTAAAGAATATTTTTATGTACGTTTCTTTTACAAATTTTCTTTTAAAGTATATTAATACAATTGAAGAATATTTTGTAGCAGGTATGTACTGTACATCCACCACACGTTTTATTATTTTATTTTTAGTTTTATCGTTTATATTGTGGCTATCGATTCGAAATGTAATTGTGATATTAGAAATACATTTAGAGAAGTCTGCAGTTTTTACTGCCTTATCGAACAAACGATACGAATGGACCCTAATCATCATTGATACGCAATTAATTGATTTCCCCTGGAAGTCGGCTTCTTACAGAAGCTGTTTCTTATTTCTTACTTCTTACTTCCCTATCATTAAATGTCACGGCACGCCACTGCCGTTTTAAATAAAACTGCATACCACGGCCATTTTTAATGCTCCCTTCAGAGGCCATTGTTGTTAGGTTTGACTATATACTTAATCGGGGCCTGCTGCCCCTAATCATTCCATTAACTGTTATTTTAAAATTTCTAAGGATAATTTTGTTAAATTGTTTAAAAGGCATCCCACATAGGCAGATCGCCCAAGTGTTGCGTTGCCATAACTTAACAAACAAACTGGAACATAGTATAAAAGTCACTTTAAATTTTTTTTTATTACACTTCGGGGTAAAATAAAATCTGAGGAGGATCACGACGCAATCGATCTTTATTTTGAGGCATATGGAGGCAGATCCCACCGTGAAAGAGATGCTAAAAATTCCTTCTCGAACGTTTTCATTCAGTTTGCGGTCGCGGGTTTGCACCTCACCACGTGGAGTTTTCAGGGTTTTCTTCACTTGTCTAATACCAAAATTAAGCCTAGTTTCCTGTAGAAAGTCCTGGCACGCAATACCCATTGGTAGATCACTCGTGTATTACATTTTCTTATCCAACTATTGCGTATAGAAAAACATTTTAATTTTTCTCTTTTAAATGTAGTATATTTAAGTTATTTATTTATTTATTTCCAGAAAGAACAACATGGCATTAAAAGTGCACATGGTTGTATCCATTGTCTTCCTTACTGTAGGTTCCGTAATGGTATTTGTAGGATTGGTTCTATATTGCTTGATCAAACCCGATCTTTACGATCGGTTAGTGACGTCGGTTGT